TCTTTTAATTATCTTGATAAAATGTTTTAATATTTTTAGATATGGATTAAGTGGGAACATACTACAAAAATTGCTATATTTTCTTTGAAGTGTTGAGTAATGCTCAATCCCACATAGTATTGGAAACACTATTGGGAAGTGTATTTAAGGCTTGGATTTCCCATTTCCTTGTTGAGTGAAAGAGAACAAGGGGGACTCTCGCGCGTCGCCGCCGCCGCCGTCTCGTCTCGGGTCGGGTCGGGTCGGGTCGGGTCGGGTCGGGTCGTGGTCGTGGTCGTGGTCGTGGTCGTGGTCGTGGTCGTGGTCGTGGTCGTGGTCGTGGTCGTGGTCGTGGTAATACGTGTCTTTGACACGTCCACGCGGATACTATCTTTCTTAAGAAAGAAACAAATGCAACAGCTTTTGAAAGAATTTACTCATTTTCTTAATTGCATTGCGATTCTTGGAATATCGCGTTGCGATTTTCTTTTGACCGTTGCGATTTTCTAAATCGCGTTGCGATTTTGTTGGTCATTTTCGCAAATCACGAAAAAAATTGGTTAAAATCGTATATTATAAGTCATTTTCGGTCACTGACGCTTTTTTCTCTATTTAAAAAGAAAACAAAGGGGCAGATCATGAGGGTTATCTTTTTGAAAAGTTTGGACAAAGCTGCCTTTGATAAAAGGAGTGCATAATTTAATAATATATTTTAGTTTTTATATTATTTATTGATTAAATATATTTATATGTATTATATTATTAGTATAGGAAAAAAGAAAATGGAAATAAATAACCAAAATTGAAAACTTAATAAAAGCGGTTATATTTATAGTTAAAAATAAGTATTTAAATTATACCTAAAGTTAACCTTAAGTGTCTAAAAAAAATTTCGCTCAAAATATATGCCTAAAATTTCTAACGTTATTCTTTTAATTGTTTACGCCGTAACGGCCGTTAAAAAAAAAGTAATCTAACACATATATATTTTGAAATCTTTATCTTTAAAAATTAATTTAAAAATATTATTAGTTTTAAAAAGACAATTTGTTTAAATTAAAAAAAAAACCTAAAATTTTAAAATTCTTAATTTCAAACTTTGTTTACAGTCGTCGTCGATCATTTACGGCTACCACCTCCGTTGTCGAATGGCCACTCATTTGTCACTATCCACCCACTAACCGACCAACATTTTTTGGCACCCCAAATATCTAATTCCTTAAACCCTAAAAATTTCAACCCATGAATGGCGATGGTGGATTAGCTGGGATTTAATCCCAACGCAAATCCCACTCAACAAATTGTAATAAATTTGATTACTTTGAGTCGGGGAGGATTTGTTGGATGATTCAAGAACATCCAACAAATTGTGCAAGATCGGCGGGGAGGGGATATTTGCAGGTGATTCAAGATCAACAAGGGGATTTATTGAGATTTGTGACAAAACGATTTGATCTTGCATTGATGAGGGTGCTTTGAAAAAATTAAGAAAAGATATGAGTTTTTTAGAGTTTTTGTTGTTATTTTTTCGCTTATTAAGTTATGAAATTTTTATAGTTATTTTTAAAGTTTTTGAAGTTTCATGTTTTCTGTCCATCTACAGTTTTTTGACGTAATTACTGATAGGTCTACGCAATTACTTAAATATATTATCTTAAAATCAAATTTATTTATCATATTAACCTACAAATAATCATCATTACCCTAAATCTGTCACAAGCACTAACAAGTAACATGTATATAAGTCACCATACAAAGTATGAAGAAAGGGGACTCTCTCACACACGCAATCTCTCAAACGATTGTTCATTATCTTCTCTAGTTCGTTTGTTTTCTCTTTTCCCACAACTAGATAACCGATTGCGACTCTTCGTCCCAACTAAAAGAGGTGAATCATTAAAAATCACCAAAGCATGCTCTCATTTCTCCATTAACAATTGTACGATGAGCATGGAGCATCTCCCAACAAAAAAAACGAATTAGTCAAGATGAACCATAGAAAAATAACCATTATACCTCACATCTTCTTCCTAGAACCCCACAATGTACTTGATTTTCTCAACGTACTACCAAGCTCATCGAAGTATACATATACAATTCTAAGCCTATAAGGCGACCCAACTTCAATAACAAAACCAACAATAGCAGGAGCTAATTCAGAAAACTCTTCAAGAGTTGATGGCCTCTCAACGCTAAGAAAGTATGCGAGAAGAAAATGAAAAAGAAAGATCCCCCAATACCAAGAGATGCATTAATAAGAACAGACTGGTGCTTATCTGAATACTTCAGATGATATAATTTTCCCCTAACTTGACCAAAGAGGAGAAAACATTGAATATGTGTCTCAACATGTTGACCCAATGGAGCAATGATAGAGGAAGGAAGTAGAATTCATGCAAAGGCAAATTGGTGATCTTTGGGCTTTAAATGGCTCTAAAGGAGATAGGGCTACGGAAGAACAGAGTCCTTTCATGCCACACATGCTAACAGCTTCCTATCCTCTATACTTCAAGTTGCCCTAGGAGATTTATGGTGAGACCAGAGACCCTATTGAGCTTCTGTCTTAGTAGATGAACTATATGAATATTATAAGGGCTTTTGACGAGCTAAAATGCAAAGTCTTCCCAGCCACTCTGTGAAAAGGAGCCAAGAATTGGTACAACTCCCTACTCGCGATAACTATGGGGGACTTCAAACAGTTGTTGTTTATGTTCATCGGACTGTTTTTGGCTAACATAGCCATCCTCTGCTTAAAAACCAACATGCTTAGTATGACTCGGACTGGTGAGATTTTAAGAGACTATACAAGGAGATTCTCTATAGCTATACATAATCTCCATGACCTTTTGGATAATTGAGCAGTCTTCGAGTACATCTCCAAACTCCAACACGAGCCTCTAAAGTATGCCTTGGTAGACAATACGCAAACAAAGATCAACCAATTGTATAAAGTAGCCAACAAGTATCCTAAAGCGAATTAAATGGGATTTGTAGCTAGTATTCGCCAGAGTTCAATTCCCCCACAATTTACCTCATAGAATCAGTGGACTAGAAGGCATCAGATGCATCCTTCAAGGTTTCACGCATCCTAGTGAATGTTGTTACATTGGGTGTTCATCATCACACACTGCTATATAGCTTGAAGTAGCTTCCAAAAAGAATAACAAAGATATAACGAGAGAGTTTTCGAAATCATTATAAGGAAACATATTTTAGTAATCGACGTCTAGCATATATGATGACAGGAAGGGATCCCATAATGGCCAATTTAAAATTACCAGACAATTTTATATATTTAATTTGATAAAAAAAAGTTGTAAGTATTTAATTAGCACTGGCATTGTTTAATTTGTATTATTTGTTTTCCTTATTTGTTTTTTTAATTTTGTCCCAAGATTTGAATTAATAAAATTTATATAATGATATAATGCATTTTAATATAAAGAAAGTAAACAATGCTATTAATCATAAAGAAGAAACAAAATTCGCATGTTGAAATATCATCACAAATAATTTTTTAATAATAAATTTGCATTATTGTAATTTAGATTATGTAAAAGTACAATCAATTCCTGAATTATATATAATCAAACAACAACAATAATAATAGTGTCTAAGAATACATGGTCTTCGTTTCAGTGATAGTTCTAAAAAGTGTTTTCACAAAATAAAATAATTATATACATTTTTTATAATAAGGATTAAATGGAGGACTAAGTTGTCTATTCTTGTCATCTAAAGGGGTCTGCAAAAATATTACCATTTATATTATCCTTTTGAACATGTGGAACAATTGTGCCCGCATCCCCCAAATGTTCTTTTAAATCCATTGATTTATCCTCGTATTCTATCTTCTGTTCAAATGGACCCTCAATTTTATTTGTGGTGCCATAAATTAAAGTTGTTCTTAGAATCAATTCCCTTTTTTACATTTATAATGAATTAAATGAATTGACATCGCACTCTCATGTAAACTTCATCTCATAAATAATTATTATCATTAATGAATTTTGGATTTATAAAATCCTTTCACTTTCCCTAACTATATTTTTTTTATAACTATCGATATCCGATCTACTATCAATTAAATGAAATCAGATACTGGTTAAAGAATTATTTCATTCATAAACGTCGAGATTTGTTTAAAGAATCTAATGTCTCAACCCACTAAATTAACCAATTCTTGATAACTGTATTTCTTTATTTTATTATTGACATCCTTCCACTTATTTTATACTTTAAATACTTATCATTTTTATTTTAATTTAGTACCAAAATATAAACAAAAACTGTCACTATTATTCATAAAACAAGTGAAGAGTCGTTACCTTTATTTTTCAATTAATCATTTTAATATATATTTAATTAATATGTCTTACAAAGTTTATGCACATGAAAATAATTTTTTTATTCTAGCTCAAACATTACAATTTACAACCTAAACTAAAATATTTTATTCATATATGAAAAAAATATTAATAGTAACACCAGTTTGTCTACTCTACACTTGTATAATTCATAATTCTGTTCTTCTCTTTTTATGTTTGTAAACTATTTATTTCTTTTTCATTTTACTAGGTAAATTGTCCAGCAAATAAAATAATGAAAAACAAGGCATTATAAATGTAATCTTTATAATCAAATTTACCAAAACCGTAGGGATTTCTTTAACTGGTTAGAGCAATTCTTATGAGATGCAAATAATTTCTTTCTATAATAAAAACGAAGGAAGGTTAGTTGATGATGACAAGCTCTACGCCTTTGTTTTTTCATGAGAAAAAACTAACGGTGGGATCTTAGTCAAAGGTTCTAACTTTGGTGATTTAAGATCAACAAATCTTGTCCCTTTGTTTTGTTTACTTTGTTGATTTGATTCGATCAAAGTCTCCAAAAGAGTCCACTCCATGGGGACCCACAATTTTCTCACCAGTCTGTGATCTCTCTCCCCCTTTCTAAAAAGTAACATCAGAAAAAAATAAAAAATGAAAATTTAATAAGATAAAGTTATATGCTTGAAGTCCATTAGCATAGATCAGCAAGCAGCCAGTAAACAAAAACATACAAAGCTCTTAAGAAAACCAAGAAAAAAAGGGAAAAGAATCATCCTTTTCTTCTTCTTCTTTAAACTCCACTGATTCTCTCTCCAAATGATTCACATTTCCTTGCTCTTTCCTCTTCGTTAGAAGTATATCATACTACGGGTACTTGTGAATTTTGAAATTCACTATTTCTAAACAGAATCTCAAAATCAGATTTTCATTTTTTCTTCTTTTCTGTCTTGTATTTTAATATATACAGTCACAAAGAGTGAAAGAGCTCTTTTTTTTTTAATTTATTCAAGCTGTTGTTTCTTTCTTTTCCTTTTCATGGTCTCTCATGTTACCGTTTGTTGCCTTCACCATGGAGATGGAGAAAAGGCTTCTCTTTTCAATTCTTTTATTCTCCCTGCTTCTTCTTTTGGATTCCTCCTCATCCCAGATGCAAGGTAGTTCCTTTATTTATAGCTATGTGAGTTATTAACAAAATGAATTCTTTTTTGCTCTTTGTTTGCAATTTTGTCCATGTTTTTCTGAAATTTATGCTTTGCTTGTCATATAGGGACATTTCATATAATCTATTGCATGTGTATCAATATAGTGATCATTCTGTTTCAGGGTTTCAGCTATGGGTTATAGTTTGAGTGATATATTTCTTTTCTGTTATCATTTTATCTTTATATGATTACCATAATGATCTAGTAAGATCTGGTTCTTTTATAGTGATTTGAACTTCATCTAGTGCAGCTAATAACATATTATGTTTTTGTGAAAAAAAAGTATTTTTTTTGGTTTTTTTTAAAGATGATGTGTATTGAGAGCAAATTGCCCGTTTATACTGTTAATTTTGGTAAATGAGCAAAAGAGGCAAATTATGATTGACCAGAGGAAGACAGTCAAATTGTAAGAAAACTGATGAAGAGAAGAGGATAATAAAGCCAAGGCCTATACTGCTTAAGTGTAACTGGAAATTAGAAACCTCACATATTAACTCGGTTTCAGTCTTGTTCATAACTTATGAATCAACTTAAAACCCGGGGTAAAAGAATCTTAAAATTGCTAAATTTAGCCTTTTGGTGACCGTTTAAGCAATCTGTATTTTGTTTAATGACCTTATACTTCACGGTTTTAATGATCTCGTGAAGCCTTGTTTACTCTTGGAATTGTTTTAAGCACAATCCCAGGAACTGGGAACATCCTTGCAATATTGCAACTATAAACTGAGTGCATTAGGAGTGAAACATTTGTAAACCACAAAGCATCTTGTTTCCATGCCGATATCTGTGCTTCAAATGTATGTGCATTTGGTGGATGAAGTCTATGGTGTTTTTGTGTGATTTCTAACAATTCTAAGCCATGGAACAGGTTTTATGAGTTTGAATTGTGGTGGTGAAGGAAATTTCACTGATGAACTTGGCCTCGTGTGGTCCTCCGATGATTTTCTTAAATACGGAGAAGCAGCTAGCATATCTGTTTCGAATGAGACAAGAAAGCAGTATATGACACTGAGGCATTTCCCTGCTGATTCTAGCAAGTACTGCTACAAGCTTAACGTTGTAAGCAGGACTAGGTATCTCATAAGAGCAACTTTCTTGTATGGTAATTTTGATAGCAATAATGTTTATCCGAAATTCGACATTTCCCTTGGGGCTACTCATTGGTCTACAATTGTTATATCGGATGCGAATACTATAGAGAAGGCTGAACTTGTATTCCTGGCTACTAGCCCTACTGTTAGTGTCTGTTTATCCAATGCTACAACCGGGCACCCATTCATATCTACCTTAGAGCTACGACAGTTCAATGGTTCGATTTATTACACACCATACGAAGAAAACTTTTATCTCCAAAGCTCTGCTAGAATCAACTTTGGTGCAGAAAGTGAAGCTCCAGTTAGGTATCCTGATGATCCATTTGATAGAATATGGGAATCAGATTCTGTGAAGAGAGCAAACTACCTTGTCGATGTTGCTACTGGCACTATGAAAGTCTCGACGAACAAGTCAATTTTCATTGGTAGCAGTGAAATGCCACCTCAAAAAGTGATGCAGACTGCTGTAGTTGGCACGAACGGATCACTAACTTATCGCTTGAACCTGGATGGTTTTCCTGGTTTTGGCTGGGCATTTACGTACTTTGCTGAAATTGAAGATTTGGCTCCAGATGAGTCCAGAAAATTCAGGCTGGTGCTACCAGGCCAACCTGATTTGAGCAAACCTGTCGTTAATATCCAAGAAAATGCCCAAGGACCATACCGTGTTTATGAACCAGGATATCCTAACATATCCTTCCCTTTTGTATTATCATTTAGATTTGGGAAGACATCTGATTCTTCCAAGGGACCACTTTTGAACGCTATTGAGATATACAGGTATCTGGAGAAAAATGATGGTTCCGTGGACGGTAAGTAAGATTAAGCTTCATTCAGTATATATAGATGATCAGTATGCACTCCTTGCATAGTCTTGATCATAATATCTCTGAAAATATATTTTTGTGAGTTGCAGAAGCGCTTGTTGCTACTGTGGTCACACTCCACCCATCAGCTGACTGGGCGCAGGAAGGTGGTGACCCGTGCTTGCCTGTTCCATGGTCATGGGTGCGGTGTAATCCAGATGGGCAGCCAAAGATAGTGTCAATGTAAAGATTTATACCACCTAATATTCTTTCCCATTTCTGTTAAATCAGTTCTTCATTAATATCTGAAACAAATATGAGTACATTTTAACTTGTTTCATTTGTGTGGTGCTTGGCAGCCTTTTATCCAACAAGAATTTGACCGGGAACATACCTTCTGATTTTACGAAATTAAGCGGTTTGGTTGAGTTGTAAGCTCCGAACTGCATTCTTACCTTTGTTATCTGTTTAATTCAATTGATTGATGCATCCATTTTACCCCCTAAGAAAACTAATTTCTTATATTTTCCTTACAGATGGCTTGATGGGAATTCCTTGACTGGTCCAATACCAGATTTTACTGGATGTGTGGACCTAAAGATCATGTAAACACCAAGTTTGCTTTTCCCAACTGTGGTTTTTTTGTAAAGTATTTACTGACTAAGATTTTGTCTTACGTAGTCATCTTGAGAACAATCGCTTGACGGGTGAGCTGCCTTCATCTTTAATGAACCTACCAAACTTGAGGGAATTGTAAGTCACTCGAATTTGTCTGTTGATTTTATTTGCCTTACAGAACTTTCAATAGTTTAATTGTAAACTTCTATGTTTTTACTGCATTATTCGCTCTTCTTTAGTTAGCATTCGAAAAAATTCATTTTCCATTGTTTTAGTTGTGTTGCTGTTTTCCACGTCGCTTTCTAGAAAAAATATCTGAGATAATTGATACTCTAATTATGCAGGTATGTGCAGAATAATATGTTATCTGGAAGAGTACCATCAGGCCTTCTGAGTAAAAACGTGGCTTTGAAGTGAGTATCCTAGATGCAATTGAAATGCACTAACACATGCTTAATAATTAGTCAATCATATTAACATCTTAGATTCATACAACCTGCATATATTAAGTCAATGCTACAAAGCTCCTTTGTTTAATTTTGACCAAAATACTTCTATTCTCTTAAACACAAATATAGACATACAAACATGTTTACATAAGCACACGAAGCATTGTAGGCATTTCTTTCCATAGATACCTTTTTCGGAAATGGTTATTGTTACAAGAAAGTGTTAGAGAAACATGTGAGACTGTTGTTTGAACTTTGAACAGAGTGAGATGTAGAGTTTGCATTAACTGGATTATAACATTCTAAATTTCCAGTTCACACTCCTTGAGCTGCCATAGAAGTCACTATGGAGTCTGATAAGTAATTAGTATTTTGAATTTGCTCTTTGCATATATATATATATATAGCTTTCATCCTTTGCAATGATTATATAAGGCCTATTCCTAATCTTTTAGGGTATAACAAACATTACCAGATATTTGCCAGTCAAGGAATCTTTTATACAAACCGAAAATACGTAGTATCTGCTACTGTGTTCTCTTTATATTATTTTTTTTATCTATTTTTCCTTTTATGCTAATATATGGCACTTAGTTTGTGCAATATAGTTACAACTAGCTTTTTCTCTCAGCTATGCTGGAAATATTAACCTTCATGATGTGGGTGGAAAATCAAAACACCTTGGTACCATTATTGTTGGTTCATCAGTTGGAGCTGCTTTTCTGCTCATATCTACGATTTTGTCTTGCATTATTTTGCACAAGGGGAAGAAGAAACACAAACAAGGTACAGAACCAGGTTCTTCAAAGCTTTGCTAATAATCTATTGCATATCTGAGTTGTGATATGCTTAATTTCTTTTAATTTATGTCAGAACAACTTAATCATCAGTTGCCTATTCAAGGTCAGAGAATTGCTTCTTCTTTGAATAATGCTTCCACTGAGGCTGCTAATTGCTTTACGGTAGCCGAGATTGAAGATGCTACAAACAATTTCGAGAAGAAAATTGGTTCTGGAGGCTTTGGAGTAGTACACTATGGGAAATTGAAAGATGGGAAGGAAATTGCAGTAAAAGTTCTCACTAGTAATTCCTTCCAAGGAAAGAGGGAGTTTACGAATGAGGTACGTGTAACTTGCTTTTGTAATCTGATCTGACATTTTTTGTTTTCAAAATTCAAACCCTTGTTCATTATGGTGTTAAAGAGTCGCTTTTGTAATTCGAGTCTGCTTTCAGTGACTGTTCTTAAAAGGAAATGATTCGTTTTAAGCCCTTTCTTTTTTAGAGAGTGTTCCGGGGCTTTAAAATGACTTATGTTGCATTGGTTGACATATTTCTAAGAAGCCATTTGAAGCTAAAATCATGTGAAATTTTGATTATGGGGTAGGTGAGTCTCCTTTCAAGGATACATCATAGGAACCTGGTACAGTTTCTTGGATATTGTCAAGAAGATGAGAGGAGTATGCTTGTTTACGAGTTCATGCACTATGGAACTCTCAAAGAACATCTTTATGGTAAGTTCTAGCATTCCTTGTGTTAAACCGATATCGTTGAGTGCTGACCATATGTAAATATTTGTAGGCCCTTTAACAAGGGAACATGGTATCAGTTGGATAAAACGCCTTGAGATTGCTGAAGATGCTGCTAAAGGTTCTTAAGCTGAGGGACTAAATTTTAATTTCTCTGTGCTGAAGCCTTTTGCTTTGTTCAAGTGACTGGAAATTTGATTCTTTATATTCATTCATTCAGGAATCGAATACCTTCACACGGGCTGTGTTCCAGCCATTATCCATAGGGATTTGAAAACTAGCAATATTCTTCTTGACAAGCACATGAAGGCCAAGGTTTCAGATTTCGGACTTTCAAAGCTTGCAGTTGATGGAGTATCACATGTGTCGAGCATAGTTCGAGGAACTGTGGGGTATCTAGATCCTGAGTAAGGCCTTGCTTCTACTAAGTCCTCCCATCTTTAGTTGAAACCATGTTAAATGACTATCTGCAGTGATTTGCCATTGTTGCTGCTTCTGTTCGCAAATGATTAAATTGTTTTCCAATGGTAAAATTACGTGTTTACAGACAGACTAACAATGAAGAAGTAGACTTTGTTTTCTGTTTGCAAGCATACTATCACTCCAAATATACTGTTATTGAGGGAAAATTACTTGCATGCAATTGTCGAATTATGTCTCATCGAGTTTATAATAGTTCTTTTTGTGCACAGATATTATATCTCGCAGCAGTTAACGGATAAAAGTGATGTCTATAGCTTTGGTGTCATTCTTCTAGAACTGATGTCCGGCCAGGAAGCGATATCTAATGAAAGCTTTGGTGTTAATTGTCGGAATATTGTCCAATGGGTAAGTTCATTTAGTTTGCAGATTCAGGAGTAGTGATATAGTTCAAAATATTGGTTCATTTCTTTCCAGATTTCTCTTGTGCACTTTCCTACTGCTTCTCATGGTTTTGAAAACGAATTATGATATATTGTAGGCAAAGTTGCATATCGAGAGTGGGGACCTTCAAGGAATCGTTGATCCTTACCTCCGCGATGACTACGACATTCAATCAATGTGGAAGATAGCAGAGAAAGCTTTAAATTGCGTGCAACCTCACGGACATATGAGGCCATCGATATCAGAAGTTCTCAAGGAGATCCAAGATGCCATCTTAATCGAAAAGGAAGGGATGATGCTTAGAGAAGGTAACTCGGATGAAATGTCTAGGCACTCTGCCATTTCTTCCCTTAACCCTGGTTCCTTGGATATGATCGGTACCGATAATTACCTGTCGTTTGATGAGTCTATCGCACGGCCAGTCGCTCGATAATCTGTTGTTAGTCCATGTACAAAGAAACAATTCCTTCCATTTTCAGTTTCATATATTCTTTTTTTACATTGCCAGAATCTTGAATCATGTTCTAGGTTTTTGGAAATTTCTAATGCATCCCACTCTTGATAGCCAGGAAAGATTAAAAAAAAAAAAGGAAAACAGAGATGGGAAGATGGTCCCATATGACAGAACAGGTTCAAAGTTTTTGAGGCGGTCCTTTTTGAGGTTGTTGCAGGGTATAATTTTATTTCTTTTGCATGAAATTAATGTCCTTCCTTAAGTGAAAGGAAAAAACTTAGACATGGTTATTCTTTATGCTTAGATTTGAATGGGACATGTATGATTTGGCTTCATCAAGAGTGGTGAATGTTAGATTTAAGGTTTGGCACTTTTAGGAAGAACAAACGTATAATTTTATATTATGAGGTAAATTTATAAAATTTCAAACGATAAAAATAAATTATTAATAAAAAAAATATTTAAAATATATAAGAATTTAATTTTTTTAGGGATCATTACTGATCATAAGTGTGTACTAGCATTGTAAGAAGAGTTCAAAATGTTTATGAAATGTTGAGAGAAAATTGTCTAAATTAATATGCATATATGAGATAAGATCTAATTACATTGTGTAAAAATTCTTTTAATTTTACATAAATTTATGACTGTGAAAATAGGATGAAAATATATGAATGAAATTAATAATATGAAATGAGAAGATATTTACTGAAAAAAATTACTAAGAATTAATCTTAATAATTTATTTTCATTCATCTAAAGGTCTTAAATTTATATAAAACTAAAATATTTTTACACAATATAAACGAATCTTAACTCTGTATATATACCGGAACTAATGAACTGTTAGGTTGATGAAATAAATTTTTATTACGTCTAAAATAAGTCATATTATCTTTGTTAGAAATAACTTTTTCATTCTTTAATATTTTAGAGCAGTTATAAAGTAATATTTATTTAATTTTTCTTTGTTACAATTATAGTTGTTTGAATTTAAATTTTTTAAAAAATATTTTTTTACATTTGAAGATCGATTGATGAATTAAAATTAAGGGTAAAGTATTTTTGAAACGGTTATGTTTTAAGGGTTTAGGGTTGTGTCGCAACCGTTTTTCGGTTGGGTCCCGGAATTGGGCTTCGACTTGAAAAATGTGGATTGAAGTCGCCACCGATCATTTATTTAAAACAAATGGGTTGATCGGATACTCTATTTCTTACTTGATCTGCATCTTTCTAAAGATGTGTCGGGTTTGGGAGTCGGTTACGGTCAAGGAAAGATTAGCACCCTTGAACCGTCCTTTCGGTACTACGTAATTTACAGTTGTCTTTGATTAAGAAAATTGCAAGTTAAATTAAAAGGTAAAATTTGATCCGAATTACTTACCCTTAATGAGTTTACGGAAATACCCTTAAAAAATTTAAAAGAAAATAATAATAATAAAAGAAAGTAACAAAACTAAAGAGTCAACCAAAGAAATAAATGAAACTAATAATAATAAACATAAAATAATTGGACGAAAAAAACGAAATTGAATAAAATAAATGAAGATAAAATATATATACAAAAATAATAAAAAGGTAAAGTGTTTTTAAAAAAAAAAATAATAATAAGAGAAAATAAACTAAAAATATAATGAAAATAAATAAATAGTATAAATAAAATAATAAAAAATATATATATAAAAATATAAAAATGTATGTATAATATAATAAAATACTAAATAGTAATAATAATAATAAATAAATGAAAAATAAATATACATATAATATTAACTAAAAAAATAGTAATCATAGAAATATAAAATAAAATAAAGTAAGAATATATATATATAACGTTAGGAAAATATAGTAAAAAAACATAGTAAATAAGTAAACATAGATAAAAAATAATAATATAATATATATATAATAATAGGAAAATAATATAATATAACGCAAAAAAAATGAAAAAAAATTATAATAAATAAATAAATAAAATATAATTAAATATATATATATATATATATATATATATATATAATAAGGGTTAAATTAAAATAAAAAATGAATTAGGGGTCAAAATTAAAAGCTAATAGAAGAAAAAACGAAAAAACACGCGGATCCACACGACCAGTTTATAAAAATCCAAATAGTTTTTCAAAAACACAAGCCTCGGGGACTAGATCTACAAAAATAGATCTCGAAAACCCCCTCGTTCATAGGCCAAAAACATTTCTCTCAGTTTTCTTTCTAAATCAAAACATAGCAAGGGTAAGGAAAAATAACATGCGAAGGTATGAACTTTACCTTTCAAAATATAAATGCTTCGAAAAATGGCTACGAGTTTCTTGTAATTTTTTTCTTGGTATTGCGTATATCCTCCTCCGAATGTGTTACAATAGTGAGTTACAATGACTATTTATAATGCTTGTGGATCCTATCTTTAGGAGTTTAAATAATAGTAGAACTCTATCATATTTTTAGGAGTTTGAATCCTAGAAAAATTCTATCCTATTTTTAGGAGTTTGAATCCTAGTAGGACGAAAAGATGTGTTGACAGTTGCCCCTCTTTGCCCATAGTCGTGTAACGGGAATAGGGCAAAGATTAAAACACACTTTTCGTTCAGTGGAGTTGAAAATTGACTCTGATGTTTCAATAACTCCTTGTCGAATTGAGTTACAGATGACTACTCCATCGTGAAGTCGAGTTCATCTTGAAATGATATGAAATTGAAGCCGTAGTTCGGAATTTGAATCAGCACGTGGCTTCTTGTTGCCCTTCGGTCTTCTTCTCGGTTTAAAGACCTTGGATCGGAATCGAACTCAAAAATCTTCATTGACAAATAGCTTTTTCTTGACTTAAGCTATGCTGCTTGAAAATGGTTGCTTGTCACTCAGGCACGGCTAACCCAGGTCCACTTCTCGACTTGAAAACCTCGACTGCAACCGGAAAGTAGTGCGATTGATGTGTCATCGAGCTGAATGGAATCGAACTTGACAATTTTGATGGCAGATAACCCTTTTAGCCTTGAGTTATGCTATAAATGATGTGCCTTGGAGCTGAGCGTAGTCGAACTCGAAGGTCTTTGTTGACAGATAATCATTCTTTGAGTTGGATATCCCTCGTCGTGAAGTTGAAATCCAATCTAAAGATGGATGATGCTTGTGTGCACGATTCCCTTCGTCGTGAAGTTGAAACCGCGGGTGGCCCCTTCGTCGTGAAGTTGAGCCTGAAATTGGATATCATTCGTCGTGAAGTTGAAATCCAAGTAAGTAGCATTGTTCCGAGTCCAATATCATTCGTCGTGAAGTTCAAATTGGCTCTGGAATCGGGAAATTGTTTGTTAACAACCAGCCGTCCCTTCGTTGTGAAGTTGAACTTGTGTTGTCTCGAGTCCAATATCCTTTGTTGTGAAGTTGAAATTGGCTCCGAAATTGGGAAATTGTTTGTTGACAACCAGCGGTCTTTTCTTCGTGAAGTTGAACTTGCGTTGTCTCGAGTCCAATATCCTTTGCTGTGAAGTTGAAATTGGCTTTGAAATTGGGAAGTTGTTTGTTGACAACCAGCGGTCCCTTCGTCGTGAAGTTGAACTTGCGTTGTCTGGAGTCCAATATCCTTCGTTGTGAAGTTGAAATTGGCTCTGAAATTGAGATGTTGTTTGTTGACAACCAGCGGTCCCTTCGTCGTGAAGTTGAACTTGCGTTGTCTGAAGTCCAATATCCTTCGCTGTGAAGTTGAAATTGGCTCCGAAATTGGGAAATTGTTTGTTGACAACCAGCGGTCCCTTCATCGTGAAGTTTAACTTGCGTTGTCTGGAGTCCAATAACTTTCGCTGTAAAGTTGAAATTGGCTCCGAAATTGGGAAATTGTTTGTTGACAATCAGCGATCCCTTTTTCGTGAAGTTGAACTTGCGTTGTCTCGAGTCCAATATCCTTCGCTGTGAAGTTGAAATTGGCTCTGAAATTGGGAAGTTGTTTGTTGAAAACCAGCGGTCCCTTCTTCGTGAAGTTGAACTTGTGTTGTCTGGAGTCCAATATCCTTCGTTGTGAAGTTGAAATTGGCTCTGAAATTGAGAAGTTGTTTGTTGACAACCAGCGGTCCATTCGTCGTGAAGTTGAACTTGCGTTGTCTGGAGTCCAATATCCTTCGCTGTGAAGTTGAAATTGGCTCTGAAATTGGGAAGTTGTTTATTGACAACCAGCGGTCCCTTCGTCATGAAGTTGAACTTGCGTTGTCTTGAGTCTAATATCCTTCGCTGTGAAGTTGAAATTGGCTCTGAAATTGGGAAGTTGTTTATTGACAACCAGCGGTGCCTTCGTCGTGAAATTGAACTTGTGTTGTCTGAAGTCCAATATCCTTCGTTGTGAAGTTAAAGTTGGCTCTGAAATTGAGAAGTTGTTTGTTGACAACCAGCGGTCCCTTCGTCGTGAAGTTGAACTTGTGTTGTCTGGAGTCCATTATCCTTCGCTGTGAAGTTGAATTTGGCTCTGAATTTGGGAAGTTGTTTGTTGACAACCAGTCGTCCCTTCGTTGTGAAGTTGAACTTGTGTTGTCTCGAGTGGCACGATATCCTCCGTCGTGGAGTTGAAATCGCGGATAGCCACTTCGTTGTGAAGTTGAGCCTTGACTTAAATATCCTTCGTCGTGAAGTTGAAATCCAAGTATTGTATGTTGCGGGTGGACACAATTCCCTTCACCGTGAAGTTGAAACCGTGGAGACCCCTTTATTGTGAAGTTTGGCTTCGAGCTAGATATCCTTCATCGTGAAGTTGAAATCCACTCTCGACGTGAAGTTAAAATCCACTCTCGAGCAAATTTTGTTGTTTCGAGAGAAACGTTCAATCTGTCGAGTTCGTCGAAGTGTAGCTTCTTGCTGTTGAGTTAAGCAACCAACATGAATCTTTAAAGGTGCTTTTGAATCGAGTATCCTTCGTCTTGAAGTTGAAAATTGACTCTAAAAGCTACAAAAAATTATGTATGTGAAAAATGATAAATATGATGCTCTAAAATGTATGCATAAGATCCATGTAACATGAATTGGTTATATTTTATCTCCTGAAAAAGGTCTGATAATTTGCACTAGGATGTTGAATCCCCAAATGATGCCCCAATATCCAAAAATACCCCAATATTTGATGTTAAATCTCCAAAGATGCCCCAAATGTTCCTCAATTCTTGCTTCAGCATTGATTCTGAGCATGAGTTTTGTGTC